CCTTACAATATGTTTGGAACAAATGAATTTCACAAGACTGTGAAGTTCATTTGTAACTCCATATTTTTATGTTCAGAATATGAAGATGCGAAGCTGCAAATTCATTCTACGCCTTTCTTATGGCATAATTCAGTCTAAACATAGCCTTCATATTGATATTTATAGTATTAATAGAGTCTGAATTTTCCAAACACATTATAGTATTAATGCCAAATTCAGTGTGCTGCCTGGATGATTTTGCTGTTGCCCTGTCCCTGGTGTTCTGCTTGAAACTCAAGCACATATTATGTTGGTGACATTCTTAAGGATACTTCATTTTTGTGTTTGCATAACAGGTCAATTCTGAAGTTGGGTCCTGCTTGGTATCCAAAAGTGGTTCAGGTGAAGGTTTATCTGGTGGTTATCTGGCTGGAGCTCTGGGTAAGACTTATGCAACTTCTTGTGCCAAGTTGTCTGAAGATCAGCTGAAAGACAATACACCTGTCTCTGATATGTTAATTGATTCATTTGGACGGATGCACAGTTACCTGAGGATATCATTGACAGAACGTTGCAATTTACGGTGTCAGTACTGCATGCCGGCTGAGGGAGTGGAGCTTACTCCTAACCCACAACTGCTTTCACAAGCTGAAATTGTCCATTTGGCTAATCTCTTTGTTACTTCTGGGGTCAACAAAATTCGTTTAACTGGTGGTGAGCCAACTATTCGGAAGGATATCGAGGAAATTTGTTTGCAGCTGTCCAACTTGAAAGGACTTAAAACACTGGCAATGACCACCAATGGGATTGCTCTTGCAAGAAAACTTCCAAGGCTGAAAGAATGTGGCCTTACTTCCATAAATATTAGTTTAGATACTTTGGTCCCTGCAAAATTTGAATTTCTTACAAGGCGTAAAGGACATGAAAAGGTTATGAACTCTATCGATGCAGCTATAGCCCTCGGATACAATCCTGTCAAAGTATGGATGCACTTCATTATTTCATGCTTTTCGTCTCTTTTCCCATCTTCCCAACTGCACAATGAGACCTAAAGAAGACCTTAAACAATTATTTATCTCCTTCCTAACTGTTGAGTTTAGTTTTTCTTAGTTTGGCTGTTTGTGGTACAAAGCTAACATTTACATATGCTTTTGTTGCTTTTAGGTGAACTGTGTTGTGATGCGTGGATTTAATGATGATGAGATCTGTGATTTTGTGGACTTGACACGGGAAAAGCCAATTAATGTTCGGTTCATTGAGTTTATGCCCTTTGATGGAAATGTTTGGAATGTGAAGAAACTTGTGTCTTACTCAGAAATGTTCCATATAGTGGTAAGGTACAACTCTTGCCGGTAACCTTGTGTCAACAATTCTGAACAACCCTTCATATGTTCCCTCACCTGCTCATTGTGCTAAACAGGTAAAGAAATTTTCAGACTTAAAGAGACTGCAGGATCACCCAACTGACACCGCCAAGAATTTCAAGATAGATGGGCATTGTGGTACTGTATCTTTCATTACATCAATGACTGAGCATTTTTGTGCGGGTTGCAATAGATTAAGACTTCTGGCTGATGGAAACTTTAAAGTTTGCCTCTTTGGCCCTTCTGAGGTGAACTACATTTTTTTTTCTTTTTCCAGTTATTTTGTGCTTGTACTTGTATTTAGTGTACAATTGTCTATAAGTTGGTTTTATCAGCTACTTCATAGAGAAATTGTGGTTGGAAATTATTGCCTCTTGTTTTAGCTATCTGCATATCATGCTTTGGCTTAAGCTATATTGCCTTTGGGAAAGATTTTTTTTTTCTTTGAAAAAGTCCATTCTGCTTACAAAACCAAACATATATTCAAGAAAAACTTGTGCAGTCATTCTGCTCCTGATGCAAAAATGTTCATTATTCGGATTTATTAACTGCTTGTTGCCGGAAGTCCTAAGAGCTTTAATCTCCTAGTGGGAACTTTTTTGAAACTTGGCCTCCCAACATTTTGGTGTCAGCTGCCAAATACCACAGCGTTCTTTTTTCATGATCTAACAAGTACTTTTAGTGATTTCCTTTTGGCTGTTGACTACTACAACTATTTTTTCCTTTATGTTTATGTTTCTTCTGTTTATCACTAGTTCTGTTTCATGGCATGGTTGATCTTTTTATCACTTTATGTTATTATCTCCTCTGGGTTTTGACATGTGAGAATTATTTAATTTGCAGTTCTTCATCATGGTATATTTCATCTTTTTGTCCCATTTAATGCTTCTAACCATAACAATAGACCCTCTCAAAGTTGCTCATAAAAAAATTGTGCTTCATCTCAGTTAATTGGGGCTGACTGATTACAGTTTTGGTTTGCTGATACTTCTGTAGATCATGCCCTTAGGAAATTTCTCATGGCTCCACCCGGGGCCTTTAGAATTTCACTGCTGCTATTGCTTCATTGATTTTAAGATGGAAAAGCTACGCGCTCTTTTACATACTTGCCCAATGGACAGAAGATCTCTTTAACAAATGAAAAAAAGCAAGAGAAGAGTAAATAAGATGGTGTTCATTTTCTCTCATTGGGAAAAAGAAAAACTTAATGAACTTCTTTGTGAGTAATTATAGCTGATGACTCTTTTCAGAGGAAAACATAAAAAATGATAACAGTGCACCAAGGGAGTGTAACCCATGTACAAAAGAAATCATAACTGATGATATGGAAATTTTCTTCATCACAAGACAAAATGAGTATTTTTTTGGATAAGAGGACACAGGAGTTTTATACTACAATAGAAGCAGGAATGATTGGTTTTTTAAAAAATGTAGAAAGAAGATATCAACTAACTTTACCAAAATGATATTACATTATTCGGCAGTTCTAAACATTCAAATACAAAGCTTTGTTTCACTGGTTCATTCACCATGTAGCTCCTTTGCATGCCTGAAATAGATTGAAGCAACTATATGAGACAACAATGAGTGAAAGAAAATTACTGATTGCTAGCCTTGGTAAGGTCAATCTTAAATTAATGTTTGTATAGGATTTCGCTTATGTTCTTTGCCTTTGGTTGCACAAAGCAGAACTATCAACAATGTCTTCATTCTTATAAAGTTGTTTTCTTGACAGGTTAGCCTAAGAGATCCACTCCGTTGTGGTGCTGATGATCAGGGGCTTAGGGAAATAATTGGAGCTGCGGTATGCAGTTTAAAATTTTTTCATGATGGATTTTGCTACCTATACTTATTTATTATTATTATTATTTCTTTAATTTTTGGAATTCTAGTATTTCTGTAAGTTACACGGGTTATAATTTAATCTCTGAGAAGATTACTCTAGGTTTTCAGATAACAGGCAGTTTGTCAACTAGATAATGGACATAGTAACATTAATTTGTTTTTACTAAATCATTGTATGATAATGTAACTATAATCATCCTCTTGAGCTTTCAAATTTTTTTTTGAATTTTTCCTGAAAATGTCATTTTATTCTTTTTCTTCTTGGTTTCTTCAGGTCAAGAGGAAAAAGGCTTCACATGCTGGAATGTTTGACATTGCAAAGACGGCAAATAGACCTATGATACATATCGGTGGCTAAAGGTTGGTGCTTTCAAGTTCTTAGCTCATGTGCGTACTCTTCCAGACATTGTCTGTAGAATGCTGTTCGAATTGTTTATTTCAACTATAGGAATGATGGAAGAGTTGCTTCTAAGAAAAATATGGTATCAGCATATTTAAAGATAGGTTGAGACTTGCACCATGTCTGTGCTAAATGGTTTTGCCTTCTTAGTTTTTGATAATTTTCTCTGGATATAATGATCATGAAGGAATTTATTAGAGACCATTTCGAGGGAGTGCCAATCCATATTTAGAAAGGAGGGTGTATACAAAATTTTTATCTGGAAAAGGTCTAGAGGAATAAACAACTCTGGATAAAATATCAAAGAGCATTGCATTTTGCACATATTCTGGCTCCAGTTAAAATAAAAAGGGAAAATTATCAGTGATAGTTCGCTAATATGATGGTTTTGTTATAGTACTTACCATTTGAAAGCCATGTTATAAATTATTTGTGGTTTACTGTGCTTGGAGCTTCTTTGCATATTGGAATGTTTATTGTGTAAACATTGCAAAATGAAGGTGCCTTGATGATATTAAAACAATCTGGATATTTTGGCATGTACCTTTTTTAGTCGCAAAAGAAGTAAATTTTTTACAAGGCACTTAAGGGTGTCACTGGTGTATGGTTATAAATAAGTTGTCTTTGTTCACTTCATAAGAGATCAACTACATCATAAGTATAAACCATCTATTAATTAGATGGTTAATACTTCTATTGCTCTTTCTGAGTCCGAGCCTGGGCTGTGCACTCTTTATCATAGGATAACTGATAAAAGAAGAAAACTATATCTATGATTTCTCCTTTTTTGGGAACTGTAATCATTAAGCCCCAAAAGATAGACCTAGCCAAAGATCTTGGAATTTTTAGGAGGAAGATTCAGCACCTTTCAGGTGTTCTCAAATTGTGAAGATTTAACACCTCACGATATTCACCTAAAGCTGTTTTGCCATTTATTGTGGTTCACTTGTGATTTCTTGAGAATCTAGAATATGATCCCTTCTTCCATTTAAATTGTCATTCTTGATATTGTTTTTGAGGTCAGCCATGTTTGGTATTTAAGCCAAGGGATCTTCTTTCTCCATGGTAGTAATTTGAGGTAGGATTAACCCGCATGGATTGAACCTTTCCCCTATACTGAATGGATGAATGCCCGGTGAGCCAAAAGAACTTAAAAGTGTGGGATATTGACACCGAGTGTTGTTTCCTACCAGGTTCCATGGAGCTAACTTGCATCAGAAAGTACCATTCTCTTATACAGATGATGCTGTGGTATGTATACCGATTTACAGCCGGTTGCTTTTGAGCTCTGCTTGCAGTTTCTTTAATTGAATTAGAAGCTGTTGATGCAGTATATTAGCAGGGAATGCAAGACTTGGACAAGTTTACTATAGAAGAGTTTTTTTTCTTTCTGGATCCCCAAGTAAAGGATGTGATCAATGTCTTTACATGACACAATGACACAGATTATTACATTCTTGTAATTTATCTCTATCCTCAAGTTAATTTGAAATGAGAAATTAAATTATTCTAGAATATGCTTTCTTGTATCTTTGGTTGCTTTAACCACAGACAATGTCACTTTCAAGTTTCACCACCAGGTGAATAGCTTGAACAACAGGACATCAGACATTAACTTCACTGACTTGCACAGGTTTGTAGATGACTATAACATACATCTACATCTTTTATATATAGAATCTTTGCAGAAGTTATAGCTAGTGCCAGATTGATTGAGAATTGATGCAGGGAGTTCATCAAACCTGTTTTCTTGCTATAAAAGATTCTCCCTTTCTCATTTCTCTGTAGAAATTCAAGGAAATTGTTGCTGTTTTGCCCAGGAAAAAAAGTTCATCAAGTATGTTTTCTTGCTATAAAAGATTCTCCCTTTCTTTTCTGTGTGTAGAAATTCAAGGAAATTGTGGCTGTTTTGCCCAAAAAAAAAAAAAAAAGTTAATGAAATTTGTTTTGTTGCTACAAAAGATTCTCCCTTTCTCATCTCTCTGTAGAAATTCAAGGAAACTGTTATTTGCCCAAAAGGAAAAAAACAAGTTCAGTGTCTCCTTGTCCATAGAAATGCAGAAAACAAGTCGTCGTTGATAATGTAAAAAATTGTTTACTTGCCCAGAAGGATAAGGGAGAAGGAAAAAAAACAGAAATTGAGAGGATACGGCTGAAAGTATAATATATATATATATATAATTCAAGAACTTGTAATTTGTATCTTCTTGGACAAATGATAATGCAGTAAGCAACTACTTTTCTTTTTTTTTTTTTTCTACCTTGGACTGGAAGATAGAATATTTTTTTTTACCTTGGACTGGAAGATAGAAATTCATTATTTCATTGAAATAGGAACAATGGTTTTCCCATTTTGACTGATCAATTTGAGCTGACCTACCTACTAATTTGCAAGTCAATGTCGTCATGTACAATTAATATATATAAATAAATATATACACACACACACACATATAAAACAAGGCATAAGTATACTAATTAAGATAGACAAGCAAGTCCTGCAAGTAGCATCCAATAAGAAAAAGGCATAAGTATATATGAGAATTAATGAGAATTACATCAAAGACCAAACTAAAGTAGAAAATTTTTATAAACAAGGGAGATGTGTTCACCAGATATGATCTGCTAAAAAATGCAGAAGCTAGCCTAGTTACTCAGCCATCTGTAATACAAATTTGTAGAAACAAATTAATGCTGCAGTTGTATTGTCAGCATATATATATGTACCAGAAGTCAAAACCACATGAATAATTAAATTAAGCACACAGACAAACCCATAGATCAAGCCTGCAGAATCCCTTGAGGAGGAACATTATCGTGATCAATCATTCTTGTTTAGGCACTCATATGAAGGAAAATATATGTGGTGTAAACTAACCTTCCGACTGAAATAAATCCATGTAATTACTCTGAGAAGATTTCACAGGTATTGGTGAAGGAAATCCATCACTTAACTCTTGAATAAAACCATCCAAATCTATGAATCCATCAAAGAAATTACCACTTGATGAACTACTCCCATCATGACCACCTTCCCATGATCCATTATCATTTTCTTCCACCTTAAACAAACTGGGCACCTCATTAAAATTCAGCATGGAATCATGATGAACCCTACTTGAATATTCTTGAAAAGTGAAGCTGGAACTGGTCAAGTTTTTCGTGGGGATGACAGGCTGCTGCTTCAGCTTCTTTAGTTTCTTCTTGGACGGTGATGATGATGATGATGATCTTCTGCGATCTGCAGATGGTTTGCCAGTGAGTCTCTGAACAAGTTCTCGAAAGTTTTGGACGTCAGTCTTGATGATTTCTGGAGCAAAGATGTGGATGATGCGAATCTTTGGCTTCAATTTGGAGATGGCATGTGAATCTTTGTGCATGCCAAGCTTGGAAGAAACTTTACCGGTGCTGCCAGATTTTTCATTTGCTACAGCCTTGCTCAACAACTCTTCCATCAACTTCTATGTCTTGTAAAGAAAGAAACAAATTAATGGTGGGTGTGGTTTCAAATATCAGATGGAGATACATATATATATATAGGTACTTATATACGTATAAACTGGAATAGTGGGTTATATATCTATGCTGCAAATTTCAAATTGCATAGAGATAAAGAAGATAAGTAAAAGCTGTCTTTTGGATGGCAGTAGTGGCTGTATAAATTAATCATATATTCACTTGGCAAAGGTCAAATATATATAATATACACTTGCATATGTATACATATGTGTGTGAGTATGTATAGACAGCTACTTGTACTAAACAGGAGGGAGAGAGGATATAGGTATATATAAATAAAATAAACATATATACAGGTTGTTTCGTTGATATATTAGTGTAATTAACTTAAAATCCTGATTTAGTTTAATTACATAGTGGGCTTTAATTAATTGTCGGCACATAAGCCTTGGTTTAATTTAATTAATGCTGCCTTTTCTTCTATTTCAAAGATAGATGAATATTGAATATATAATTTGCAACTAAAATTAGATGTAGTTATAAAAAATCCACTAGATAATACATACATACATATATATTTTTCTTTTTTCACTTGACAATTAATATTAGCTAGAGAAGTATGCGCGCGCTGGAAATGATCAAACATGAATAGTTCAGACGAAGATAAAATCTAAAGAAGCTACTTTTTAATTTTGATTTTGTCAAGCAGATGGATACATAAAAGATGATCATCTCTCTCTTTCTCTCTGCAACTGCAAGCACATCATCACCCATGCGCATATATATGTATATATACACACATGTACGTCTTCATGCATGAGGTGGCCTTGCGATTTAGGTTAGAAAGGGTTTGAGCATGATGATGATGGAAGTCCATGTGGACATGGGAATCAATGTGTGTTGCAGAAAGATGAGATCTTCACTTGCAACCAACACTAGACAGTATGTTTGTGTGTGAGCTGACCCAGTAAGCCACGCATCCGTTCTGTTGATCATCAAGAATTTGTCAATGCATACTTGTACGGTATCATATGCATATATATATATATATATATGCATATATCTGTTTTCCATCAAAATGAATTAAAATCAAAATTCACTTCGTAATTTCAATCAGAATTTTGTAAAACGTACCCCAACTAACTACTTGGTTTCAAACATAAATTTGCATCTCACCCAATTATTTAATATTTCAAGTAAAAGCTATTATTTTCGAGTGATATTTTAATTCCAGATCAAAAAAAAAAATATAATATTAAATTTTATATAAAAATTAAAATCATACATTATCAATAAAATTTGTAATTAGATGTCACATACTTTGATTATAAAAACTTTTTATTCCTTAAATATTATACAAGAATTATTTTATTTGGATTGGATGGTGTTTGGTACAATTTGAGTTAATGAATTTATTTATTTTCTTAAACAAAATTTTTGAGCACAAGTTGGATGTAATAAAAAAATATTTGACTTAAGTTTTTGATGTTCGGCTTATAATGTTTAATTCAATGAAAATAAAAACTTAATTCATTAATATCAGAAAATTAAAACTAATATTAATGCATAAACAATAAAATAAAATGTTTATTTTTCTACCTACGAAAAACAATCTTTAATTACTAATGCTCGACTGTCTCTATTTTTTCATAGATGTTATTAGAATTCTAGGTAATCTTCACATATTCAAATTCAAATCTGTTTATAATTTAACTCATCGTGAGAGAAAAAATGATAATATTTTTTTGGGTGTTATCAATTAATATATTAATAAAATCGTCATATTAAAATAAATATTATTATATTTTTAAATAAAAATAATATTATATAGAGATTAAATTTTCTAAATTAAAATAATTACAGAGATTTAAAAATTGGATCTAATTTTTTTTAAAAAAAAAAAATTGACTTAATTTGGCTAATGAGGAAGGGAGCAAAGATCATTTAATTGAGTTGACTTTAATATTATATAATATAACCTTTCTTTTTTTTGCATTGATTTTGGTTTTTTTTTAATGCTTTTGTACTTAAATGAATTGTGGTATGGTGGCATATATATATTATATTACATTATATATAAAAGTATATTAGATCAAGGTTGCAGTAGCTTGAGGTGAGGTACCCATCACGATTTTCAACTCCATAAATTTAATGATGAATTCTGAGCATGGATCAGAAAGAGATAATTAATTTAATTTAATTACAAGAAAATTAGGATTTTTCCACTAATGTTTTAGATATATAGTATATATATACTTCTTCTTTAAGTAAACTAATTATTATATAGGAATTCAACTTCTTCTTCTTGATATTTAATTTTGCAACTAGTTGACATCCTACATATTTAAATTTTTTGTCATGTAAAAAATGTATATTATTTATAATTATCATAAACTTTGTAATGTATAAAATAATTTATATTATTTAGAGTTATCATAAACTTTATAATATATAAAATACAAATACAAAATAATAATTTCACTTTTATCTTTTTTTTTCTAAAATTCGACGTAAAAAATTCAATGTTTATAAATTTTAAACCTAGAAAATTTATGATATTTTATTTTTTTTGAATAAATCTACTTGTATGTTGTTGGCCTAAATTTTTAAAATTAACTTGGTATGATTTAAATAAGATTGTTAAATTTATATTTCAAACTAAGCAACTAAAATTATATATAACTAGTACGACTTTTAATACGAAAAAACAAATTTATATTGAGACACAAACGGGAATAGGGTAACAGTAAATTGAACAATTAATAGAATATTATAAATTGGACAAAATTACTATATATATATATATAATTTGGTTAGGGTTATAAAAGAACATGTCTTGATGAGTCGATCCACTTACATGTCTTATTTTTATTGTTATATTGGGAGTTCGTTCAGATATTGCTTGATGTACAGAAGATAATAGATATGTTTTCAATTTCTGCTGAATCTTTTTCAATACTCGATATGTAACTTGATAAATAAATAATTTTTTATATATTTCAGAATACGGTTAACTAATATGTTAATTAATTAATTACGATAAATTAAATCAAGTTTTATTGTTTTTTCTTCTACAGTACTTCAATATGAAACAAGCATCAAAGAAATTCAAAAATTAATTTTCTTTTTATAAGGGTTAAAATTATTTATATTGACATCATTTTATAGGGTAGATTTCGAAAGATATGAAAGATCTTCATTCGAATCATACATACAACTTTCTTGTATACATCTTTCCATAAAATTTTATTTATATATTTGAGATTAAGTATAATACTTAATTTATTCACTTTAAATTGAGTATCAATTTTTTTTTACTAAAATTAGGTATCCATACAATTTATAATATAATGAGTTTATTGGACCAAGTGATCAATATAAATATTACAGTTATAGTGCACATACAATATTTGAAATGTCTCGACTCAACTTAAAAAGACCTCTACGATGATTATTTTCCTTCCACGTACGATAATCTACTTTCAACTTAATTTTAAAGGAATTACTTGTATAAAGAGAATTGACTTTAACAACAAATTATTTCAATCCCTTCTCTTTAAGCAAGCTTTAGGGAAAAGATTTATTGGTAATGAAGTAATTTTGTCAAATTTTTTGTTTGATTTTTTCTGCTATTTCTTTCACTTCAATTCTCTTGGGAAAAAAAAAAATTATCGATTTAAAATAACAAGGTAATAATATTGATGATCATCAGACTAGCTTGAGAACAAGTTTATCAAACTGTACCAGATAATTCTTATATGTAAATTCAATGCCAAACAGTGCAAGAAGAATTGTCTACATGTTCCCGCAATATATACACACACACACACACACATACATATATATTGGTAGTTGCAAAGTTTTGTAAGCAAACTACTGTGTCATTATTAAATTGAAATGTTTTTACAATTAAAGAACCATATATATAATAGAGAAAGAACGAACGCAGGGAAAAATGAAAGAATAATCAATCCTTACTTTTTCTAAAAATACAGTCTATATATATGTATTAGCTCGATGGTTGGGATGTGGGATCATGATTGATGACGAAGGCGTCTTATGGAGCCCGGAGAAGAAGAAGAAGATGATGACTTAGGAGAAGGCTCGGGATCAGCTGGTATATCCCTGAGAAGAGCGAGAATCCGACGAACACTTGCAGAGCGAGCAGTCCTGAAGCCGTTGCTGGATTTTGAAGATGAAAAGATGTTTGATGATTTTGAGAGGATGAGATACACCAGAGCTTGCACCATCACGAACATCCCCACTTTCATCAACATATCTCCCAAACCATTTTCCATTATCATCTTGAATTTCTCTCTGCGCCTTGAAAACCAAAACTTTTATGTATGTATATATATGGGTTTTCTGATATTGTTGGTTGGAGATGAAGGTAAGTACTTATAAGTATATAATGAAGAAGATCTTGTAAGTGGTGAAAAGTTGATGATGGAATCTGGTTATTTATAGAGTAGAAGGAAGCAATCCAAGTTTGACCTGACCAGACAGCCGCCATAGCCATACATACTTATTAATTCTTCCACTTTTCAGAAAAAGAAAAAGAAAAGACAATTCCCAAACGTGTAATTAAAAAAAAAATAAACTAATGCATAAATTATTTATGAGCTTAGTTGGATCTTATCCTCTTCATGTTGATATAGATATATATAATATGACACGTGTAAAAATAATACAATATATATATATGTATAACAAATATTATATCCTTTAGAACATCCGTGGTGGTCTTAAATTACCGGCTAAAGTATATGATCGGGAGCAATTATATACATGTATATTTATGTATATGGTTGATCAAAATATATACATATACACGTATTTGTATGTGTGTATGCATGTACGTGTATCGGGATTCCTCCGACCAGGCAAACCTTTTTAGTCAACTTTATACTTTTTTTTGTCAACTTGAATAATTCTTGCACGTTACATATTTCTCATTTGCGCGTAGCTTTGGAATTTAGTTTTAACTTATATAATCTAATCTTCAAATTAAATTCCATTCATAAATTCAAATATTCAAAGATCATACTTACTAGCTCTATATCATATGTTGAATTTCTTCTTGAAAATCTCATATAATAAATAATTATAATAATTTATGTAAGTAAAGCTTTAAGTATTTAAAAATTAAATTTTTTTATTTATATATATTCATATGTAATACATTTTTCTTCATCTATTTATTTTAGAACTTTGTTTGTGTTAATAATATGTCGTTTTTTTTTTAAAAAAAAAAAAGGATTCACAATTTCATATATTAAAATTAATGGAAATAATCATGCTTCACAAGAGAAGAACATTTTTGGTTTTTATTTATAAAAATTAAAATACTAAATTTAATCACTTCATGCATTTCTTTAATCATATCATTGTGTTTTTCCTTAATTACATTCTTCTAACCTAAAATCAATAGCCACTATGTTAGAACTTTGGTTTTTGTTGAATCAAAATACTTGTTTTCTTCCCTTTATAAGTTTCTACCTCCTCCTTATCAAGTCTCCATAATTAGACGTTTCTTTCTTTTGATCCATCTTATAATCTTCTTATCATCTAAAGAAATTTACCTAGAAAGATAAGAACCTTAGATGAAAAACAAGAGACTTCATTTCTAATCTTTTGTCGTAACTTAAGATTTTTCTTTGAAATTTTTTGAAACTCCTTTTTTTTTATAGGATTCTCAAAGTTTTTTTTCCCTCGTAGTCTTTTACACAAAATGAGAACAAAGTCTTCATTATGTTTGTAACTTATGTTATTAGATTTTGGTCACCAAGAAACAATCATTACTAATTTATTTAAAATCGAATCAAAGACAGAGATATAAAATATAAAATATATAAACCAAAACACGTATTAAATCAATCCTTCACCATGTTGTACAATCAAGGTTCTCAATTGGTGGTCTTGAACTCTCTTATACATTATATAATATGACGTTAGACTTATTTGTATAATAAATTGTGAATATTACAAAAAGGCTTTGGTTCTTACAATTTTCATTGAAAAACAAATCAAAAACTAATACAATCTAATATGATAGTTTATGGACATCAAAGTAAATAAAAGAAGACAAAAAGTAGAAAATTAGCATGTGATTAAAAAATTGCACAACTGTTGTAGCAATGTAGTAAAAGAATTTCCTCTCTATATATTCACATTCTACATACACCAAATCCTAAGATAAGCTATGAGGTCTATGTCCCTACCTCCCATATTCTAGTAAGAGATTTGTCATAAAATCTTTCTCTTTATTGGTAGAAACAAAGTTGAATGATTTTAAACATTTAATTTCATTAACAATCATATTTATTTTGAGTTGAATTTTACATAATATTGTTATTTCCCACTTAGGACACCATAACCATATATTCACCACATTATCACTTTATTGACTCCACATAAGACCTCACAAAATAATGAAGTATATATATCTCTATGAGCTCTGGCCAGTAGTAGTTCAAATATAAAAGAAGCTTGCTTATTTATGTTACCTATTGTGAACCATTAACATGGGATGATGCCTCCTCGATTGCTTTTTAAATTGCCAATAATTCTATATTGTTAGAGTTCGAAACCCTCAAGTAATTAAAAAAATACATTTGATCCATCCATTGTGGTATCTTAGATACCTCTCAATACCTATTGGTCTATACTTG